CTCATTAAAAGAACCGAAAATTTGTTAATTTTATTTAAAAGGTTCCATTTCTAATTTTTCAAATATTTGAGAAATATAGGTTCTTAAATTTTCTCCGATAATCGGTATTAAAACCAGTTTTGTCAGATCCATTTCTCGTTTCTGAATTTTTGATACTGAGTAGAAATTTATCTTAAAACTATAGACATAGCGTTTACTGATGCTGTTTCTTGTTGTCACGTTTTCTCGTGATTTTTAAAATATTATTTTAAGAAATAATTTCTTCGTGTATCTCTGCATGTGTTAAATTACTTATATCTCCCTAAAAAGTTGCCAAAAAAAAAAAAAGTTTGAAAATGCTTAACATTTCAAGAAATGCTTTTCAAAATGTTTACTATAATATACCTATTAGATATAAAATATAAATAGATCATAAGTCGTACTGGCTTTCGGTGTGGATAATGATAGTGGACCCCAAACGTGAGGGTCATCCCTTTATTTTATAAAAACAATTATTCAAATAAATTAAGGTAGGAGATATAATTCATTTATATTTCATATTTATGTATGACGGTGAGATGACACAAACGCACCGTCGTATTTTATTGTTAAATACCTACTACCTGTTCACTATTCAGTCGATAATGAATTTAGAGAGGAAAACATTTTGTCAAATTTCGAGGCCAGTAAAAAAAAAAAATTAAAAAATTAAATTGGACGTGCTAACGTATTTCACACCGTGGATAGGTCATTTTTATTGTTTTTTCTACTGAACATTATATGGTCGATCAATAAGAGTGGGAATAAATACAAATTGAAAGGAGTAAAACGAAGGTTTATTAGGATCACCATTAATAAAATTCTCCATTTTTAACATTCTGTAAGTTTATGTTTGGTTTGGAAGAAAGCAATACAATTCCATTATTTTCAGCTCTAAGGCAAGAAGATCCAAGTGACATTGTTTTAGGTTCTCAGGAGAACGAAAAATCAGTTTTTATGTTATTTTACATTTCAAACTCCAATAACTTTTTTTGTTGTGATTTTTAAAGTAATCTTTTGCTTGAATTTTTATCATTTTTACGGCCAAGCAATTTTTAATTACATAATTATAATTATTGTTGTTAAACGCCAAATACAATATTTTGTATGAAATAATTTTAAATTGAAAATTCGGAAGAATCGATAACACAAAAAATTACATTGCAAGCGAAAAATTTAATAACGGTAAATGTAACTCCTTTCATTTACCCTTACTTATTCCACCTCCTCATCTTTCGGCCTTCATCCCTCTACTTTAATATCTCCACTGTTACTTAACCCTTCACTATCTTAGCTGATCACACCCTCTTTTATACTTAACAAATGTATGTATTTTAACTATTAATATAGTTATCGAAATTTTTGTTGATATACAAGTACAAACAAACGTTTCCTCACGGACAGCACAAAAATCCCAAAATTTAAAAACCTCGGGCTTTGCCCGCTTATAGTATTGAACGAAAATATAAAATAAATATAATAACGTCCCAATCAGGTTCTCCTGGATTAGTTAAGGTTCCCGAGAATAACCAAGCCCAGATTAAGAATTAATTGGATCCCGTGATACTAAGTACTTTCAACTTAAAATTAAGAAAATTGTATTAAGTAATTTTAACGGTCGTACATGATTGAATAATAGTGTACCATAAAAATTAAAACATAATAATGATTATATAATAACACGTTGTATTGGTTAATAAAGATTTATAACTTAGACTTTTAGATTCTGAACGCATCGAAGAATGTATTGGTTTTATTGTAATGTATGATTCTTTTTTTCTGTCTGTTAACAACTTTTCTCCGATTTCTTCGATTAAAAAATGTCGAAAGAACTTTTTTTGTAAATTTTTAGATCTAGTTGGTGTATCAAGAAATTAATTTTCAATTTCCGAGTAATTTTATAATAATTTGGAAAACCAAAAAAAATATAGGGACACCGAGCACATTTACGACGATAAAAGTTTAATTATTTTTTAACTTTCAGATTCGGAGTGTATAGCGAGGGATCTATTGATAATTATACTATGATGTACATGTATTTTTTTTTTTTTTGTTTCTTAATACAACTTTTTTACTAGAATTATTGCTCTGATATGTAGCAAAAATATAATGCATAAAGTATGGATTTTATTGTTTTCTGAAAAAAATATCTTGTTTTAAAACAATTACAGTTTGTTCAATATTCAATTTTGAAATATGACTTCGTTTTCAAATTGTTTGTATTATTGACGGAATTTATAGAAAGAAGAACTATAATGCAACCTTAGCAGACGTCAGTTAGAACCTAAAGTATGATTTAATATATACTAGTTTGACGACAAAATGTGACCGTCAACTAAATCCATTTATCTAATTGTGTGTCAAAACTTATCATGGGCATTTCAAGCGAGAAAATTATATCTATAATTACTCACGTTACTTTTGATGAAATAAACATTTTATATGATTTCTTTGAAAAATGGATGGGGTAAAAAAATCATTTATCATTAAAAAATTTGTATGAAATTTATTACACTTCCCTACTATTCTTATCAAGATTTTAAACTATTATTACTAGGCTGAGGAACTTTTAAGTTTTAGGTCAAAAAAAACATCCAAATATGCATAAAAAATATACATAAAATATATGCTTTAAAAAAACAACCATTATTTACTAAAATATGTTAAATCAAGATAAATGATGCCATAATAAATGAAAAAATAGAAATCAAATTTACTTAAAATCCTCCAAGAAAATCGCTATTTCATTATACATAGAACACCCTTACACACTTACCTTGTTTACGTTATTATTATATTTTCCAGTTATACAAATTATGTGATACATGAGTACATGACGTTATTTTAAAACTTATTACTTATATTCGTATTATTTTTATTCTGGTTGAAATATTTTTTTTTTTTTTTAAGAATATAAGTCAGTATAACGCGTATATCTAAATAGTTAAAGATGAAAAATAATATTTTGATTACGAATTACATAGAATAGCTCATGTTTTTTCGATATTTGTTTTTATTTTGTCGCAACATTTGTCCTAATCACAGCAAGTGAACATTTTTACATTTTAGACATTTCTCATGAAAATAAATGTGGTAAAGCTACTTTTGAATTTTTTCATATTTATAAATATCCCAAGTCACAGGACAGATACCTCTGATGGTTATGCCTACAAGGCTACAACGTATTACAGACTACAGTATATATATAATATATATAATATATCATCAATATACTATAGTATAGAACAGAATAATTGAGTCACGCCACAGTATTTATAAGTTAGGCAACTAAATCAACTTAACAAAATAGTTCAGCTTAGTTGTTCAATCTGTCATATATAGATAATATAAAATAATAATCAAACTGACTTGACATAACATATCAAGTCAGTTTCGCTAATTATAATTAATGATAAGTTAATATTTAATGTTACAAATATTCATTAAGTTCAATTCACAAAATGTAATGATTACAGCTACAGGCTCACCACATTGATAAAGTTCACAAAACTTCACTGCAGGCCAGTTAAAATAGAACTTAATATTTTGACCATGATTTCCGTTAACCATCATTTCTTTATTTCCTTTTTTATTTTAACAGATTAAATAAAATAAAATAAAATTTATTAGATACATATTAAAAAAATATTAGTTACTTTCTTCAACACTATGACTTTAATTTAGAAAACAACTCATGCTACCTTTGGTAAAGATAAAATATTGGTGGAAATTCTTATCGTGTTTCTCATATATAATCTCTCGGTCATATACCATACATTTTATATTCTACTAATGTTGTATTGGGTACCCGCTGTTCGTACTTGTGATACATATAAATATATCTCAATTTCACGTTGTCTGTCTTGATATGTATAGCTATAAGGAAATAAAATTCTTCCTATTCTTTGATGTAAATTTTAAAAAGTAACTCAAAGTTGTAATGTAAATTGATTTACAATTCACCTATACTTTGAAAAACAAATATCTGAGTTTTAATAAATATCTATTAATTTCATAAACTTTGATTGTAATGTGAAAATATTTTTGGAACATGTGTAGGTAATGGAAACCATTATTTTACACTTGGCGCAATATTTTTATAGATTTAAACTGAGTATACTTTCGAAGTTTAATTAGACATTGGCTTCCCTAGGCACCTATGGACCGTGCCAAGAGAGATGTGCTCATGCACCAGGCACTATGACCACATAGTGGGGCCAATTCAAAGTTTTTTTTTAAAGTTCTGTAATTGAATATTTGTATGATAAACGTATAAGTTTTTTTTTTTCTCATCGGTAAATTTTGTTAGGCACGACACTGCCTTTACCGTTACAATAACTAGAACAACCATGACAAAATTAAAAACTTACCCATATATACAGTGTAAATTTACAAAACAAGAATTACACTAAGCGTAAAACAATGGTTTCCTTTTCAAAAAATTGATAAATTTTAACCCTGTAAAAATCTCTTAGGTACACATTATAATCGAAGTCGATAAAAAAAATAACCATTTCGTGATAAGTCTACTATACTACATACTACCATACTATATGTGAATGAGTCACTGACGGATAATGACTTAATTGCTGAGATTCCCAAATTTTATCTAAATACACCGCTCCATAACATTTAACTATTTGGATAATTATTTCCTGTGTGAATAGATGGAACTTAGGTGTACTTATATGGGTTGTCAGAAGATTTAGAAAATGCGAACAATATTGTCAATTGGTGATTTTTTTTTTCTTTTGACGATTTGTTTCTCAATCACCCTGTGTTATACTCCGGCGATTAATTATTAAATACTTCAAAAACCATGTAAAAATGTATGACTATCATGGTAATAATGCATACATATAAGGTCACATAACCCAATCATATTTTACAATACAAAAAATACAGTAACACATAAATAAACAGAATCATCATAAAAGTATAGCCATTTTAAAAATAAATAATGATACATTTTAACATACTACAGACAGTTGATATATAAACATATAGTAATATGTAGTAATAATATTTAGTATAGTAAATAATGATAATATATTTATAATTCATAATGTGATAATAATGAATAATCAGCGCAAATAAACGCTATTAGAGTTTATTAAAATTATTTAGATCAAAGCTATTATCGAGAGAATCGAAAATAACTTTGTACACCGGTTTAGGCCTATAATAACACACGGATGTGAAACTTGTGCAACTACGAAGGGTGAGTATTCAAAAATTAGTACGATAGATAGAAAAGTACTTGGAAAAATATTTGGCCTAATGTGTAATATGGAATTGAGAGTTTACGAAAGAAAACATGTGAAAATTGATGTGCATAACATGTATAAAAGACTTAAAATTGTATAATTTAGTAAAAGTAAAAGAATGGTTCGAGCATGTATGGAGATCAAATGGTTCAAGCTTGTATGGAGATCAAATGGTTCGAGTACGTATGGAGATCAAATAAGAAAATAATTAAACAAGTTACAGAAGAAAGAGTTACAGGCAAAATACCTCCAGGAAGACCGAAAATACGAAAGATATGGTGGAAAAAGATTTAGAAATGGTCAACGAAAATATACAAATAATTGATATTGTGACGGCAGCGATAGGAGTTCATGGCCCGCTAAACTGTAAAAGAGGAAGAATAATATGACGAATTATTCTAATATTATTTCAAAATTATATCAAAGAAAGTAGATTCAACTTTATTTTTAATTTATAAATTATTTTTCTTAGTTTTTAATGGTACCATTAGAACAGTGGTTCCGTGGTTCCCAATTTTTTTTTATTCTACGCTCTCTTTGTAGATTTCTAAAAATTGCATTCCCCCCCTTCTCACCACTAAATTGATAAACTTGATTACCTTTTCTTTCAGTATACTTATTATTTTATTAACAACAATAATTATAAAAAAAGACGGACATACATAGAGAGGAATTTAATTTATATCTGTACGCAACGATAAACTATTACTCAGGAAAAACGATGTGGAGCGAAGTTCGGTTGTACATGTTTTGAAAGGCCGTAATATTTATGATTTTCATCGAAATTTGATATTATAAATCGCATACAAAAAAAATATTACTTTAAACTCAATTTAACTCACTTTCTTTTTCTTTTGACTGCAAAGTACGACTTATTAATGAACCTCCTGTTGAGTTTTCAAGCATTTCTGATTAGTCTAATAATTTTATCCACAGAGCACATATCAAATAAAAATTACGTAAAAACTCGTAACATATCTAAATCATAAATTTGTCTGTACTTTCTAAGTATTTTTCAGTTTGATCAATTATTATAAATGTTACATGGATAATCAAAAAACAACCTTCTTCTTCTAGATTCAAAATGTAACAAGATGCATTTTTCGTTGGATTTTAATTAAAGATCTCTATGAGAAAATTTAAGTTATAAATAATGGATCCACATCACCCGATGTGTGAGCCACTATTGTAGATGAGAAGTTGAGAAGGCAAATAGTAAATTTAATGTTTATCCATACGCAAAAATTAATTATTGCTAACTAAAAACGATTCTGAGCAGAGTTCATTTATACATGGTTTGAAAGACCGTAATATTTCCGATTTGAAAATAATATATTTCGTAAATTTTTCAATTTTTTCTACGTTTTTTCTCGATTTTTCCCATTCATCATGAAAATCCCTAAAAATATCAAAAAATTGCAATCCTAGTCAAAGTTCCTATCAGAAAATGTGTTATACTTGAAAATCATAGCGAAAATTCTGGTAAATAAGTTGTTCACCTCCCCCCCTCTACGATTGGGAATTACTACATAAGAAGAAGAAGAATTTCTCTAACATTTCAGCAGTGTTCAATTTACTTGTTTCAGTAAAATAATAGTAAGTAGTAAAATTTGTAATTTTTGGTGACAAACTTAATTATAACAACTATAGAGGAATATCACTGCTGAACACGACATATAAGATATTCTCAAAAATATTACTAGGAAGATTATAACCCTTTGCAGATGAATATATAGGGGAGTATCAATGCGGATTTCAAAAAGGGAAATCGACAATAGATCAGCTGTCGGTGATTGGTCAAATTATAGAAAAAAAGTTTGAATATAGGCAAAATGTGTGGCAGGTATTTGTCGATTTCAAAAAGGCCTATGACAGCATTCATCGGGAAAGTCTTTAAATATAATGTACGAATTCGGAATTCCAAGTAAGCTTATTTCCCTGACAAAAGTGTGCATGAATGGTACAAAATATCAAGTAAGAGTTGAAAACGTACTATCCGAAGAATTCCAAGTGGTAACAGGCTTGAAACAGGGTGACGCTCTTTCACCACTACTATTCAATATTGCACTGGAGAAAGTCGTACGGAGTATACAAAGGGATAACTATGGTATTGACATCGGCACAAACAAGATTAGTATTTTAGGTTTCGCTGATGATTTGAATATAGTTGGTGATGATGGAGAGAGTGTGGCGCAGAGCACCACAACCCTCATTAACGAAGCAAAAACCATAGGGCTGAATGTAAATGATAATAAAACCAAAGTGATTGAGCTATTACCAGAAAACAACCATGTCGACAATGTAGTGATTCAAGGACATACATTTGAAAAAGTGCATCAATTTACATATCTGGGGGCCTCTATCAGTGGTAATAATGACTGGTCCATCGAANTTCTAGAAGAACCAAAGTACATCTTTACACGGCGATAATTAGACTAACGCTAACATATGAGTGTGAAGTATGGCCTTTAACATTCAAAATGGAATAAAAACTTATGTCGTTCGAAAACAAAATACTAAGAATTATCTGCGGCCCAGTATATGACAACGACCTGGGGTGCTGGCGCAGAAGAACGAACAAAGAGACTCGAGATTTGACAGGAGTACCAAGAATAACCAACTTTGTAAAAACACAAAGAATAAAATGGTTTGGGCACGTGATGAGAAGGTCAAACTCAGATTACCTTAAGACGGCGGTCGAATGGAAACCCACAAGGAAGAGACCGAGAGGACGTCCAAAGAAGCGATGGATAGATGGTATAAAGCAGGACTTAGAGAAATTAGGGATATCAAATTGGGAAGACAAGGTACAAAATCGAGAAGAGTGGAGGGAAGTGTCGTTGGCGGCAAAAACTCTTGAAGAGTTGTGATGCCAATGAAGAAGAAGAAGAAGAAGAAGAAGAAGTAAAATTTGTAATATATGTATTTAGATTTTGGTTTTTTGTATTCAATTTTAAATAATTAATTTAAATAAAAATATATAGATACCTATTAAATATAGGCAAATAGCAATTTTTTCGTTTTTATATTTTAACATTACTATGTAATAATAATATAAACTATTCAACATGTTACAACAATAAAGGAATACTGGGAATATAATAAAACATAATTATAAAATGAAGACACATAAAAAAAAAATAAGTAACTATAGTTACATTTTAAAAAATCTTCAATAACATATTTTTAAATTCATAAGTAACACACATTATTTACGAATTCATTACAAAATAAAAATAAAACATCACGAATAAAATAATAGTTTTACTATGTAGACCAATAGCAATAATTATTATTCAAGTGTTGTTTACAATAGTGTCGTTGGTAAGCTTTTGTGGAACTAATTTTCGGTCTTCTTCGTTTTCATTTTCGTCTGCCATATACTTTCTCAAATGAATGTCGTCTGGATCGAATCGTTTTATTAACATTTGGAACAAATCTGGTTTTTTATTCAGTAAATAAGCCAAAACTCTGCCTGCCTGTTTTTTCTGCTGCTCGTTACATTTAGCACATTCTGTTTGTATGGCATCCGGAATAATCCCTAACAATTTAAAAACGGTTTTAATATAGTAATACAAAACAAACGAAAAATATATATATATATACATTACATTTTCATTAAAATAGAAACATTTGTAAATCAATGCATTAAATTTACTTGATTCCCAAGATTTTGAATTTCTGTCTAGCAGTCTCGGTTTCTTTCGAATTCCGAATATTGCGATAATAATATTTTACAACAGTTTTTACTGTACTTTTACTATTTTATACACTTACCTACTAATATTAGTAATTATTATTTGTACATAATTTGGTTTATTAGATTTTTACCTAAAGGATGACTTACACAGAAAAATATTTTCCTGTTGCATTCAACTTTCAACTTTTTAAGTAAATTGGGTTTTATTGAAGGACAGGAGAGAGTGAGAAGAGAAAAAGAAAGTGTTGGAGTGGTTGCCCGGGAGGGGAAAGGGGATTATCATAGGCATTTAATTTGATACGATCAACGTGGTACGAGGGTTAACTGTTATTGGGGCGGGAGCATACAACGTATAGTGATCCGGATGAAATAAAAACAAAAACAATTTTATTATACAGACAAAACCGGGTGGAACAGCTAGTATTTATACAATTCTGAAAAGTGAATGCCCCTCAAATAATATTATTCTCGTTTTAAATAATTCAGAATTCCGTAAAATTTTGTAACTGCTACTGTTTATTGCAATGTATTTACTTATACAGTTATACATAAACGTATCTCACTCGAAGAATTACCAGAAATAACGTAAAATTTAATATTGAGACGTATCAAGGCCAAATACGATTAACAAATCTTCTTTGCATTTTTATTTAACGTGGTGAAATCTCTACAGTATAATATTAACATATCTTTATACGGGCTTTTTTTTAAAAATTATTTTATTATATAACGTGATGGTATTTTTCTTGTTTTTTTTTAAAAAAGAAATCTATTTTATTTTGTAATATAAGTAGCGTTTTTAATTAATTTATTGATGTAGGTAATAATCGCTCATACTTGTTTGTGAACAAAGACTATGGAGATTTTATTTTGATTACACTTGCCCACCTATTTGTGTGTAGGTTCATAATATCAATAACACCCTGAGCATAGCTCGCTGGCAATGAACTAAAATATCAACAATCATAAAAAACATAGATACATTAAGAATATGGTTAATCGTGGGCATTAAGAAAATATAAAAAGTAAATCTAGTTGTGCCCTACTAAACACTCGGGTGTTTTGTATTATGAACGAACCATACGGCCCTACATTATAAATGTATAACCTTACATAGTACTCCTTGAATTTTTTACGTGACGACTAATAATAAAATAATAAAACATATCAATTATTGTTATTTGACTTATATCAAATTTATAACCTATATAGATACATACCTATGTGTATTTTTATTTTAAATCGAAAATGTACATCAAGTGGAACATTATTATGACACAACATTTTAAAAATTAAAAGTAAGCCAATTATTATGATGTTCATTCAATTATACGTATATTTTATATTTATTGTCATCAAAAATTTGTATGTTCTGAGTGTTAAGAAGTTCAAGGCGTAAGCATAGGGGTACGTTAAGGGAAATTCATTGGCTTTACTATGATGCATTATTTTTTTAAATATTTTTTACTATAATCATAGTCCCCGTCTCCCTGAGTAGGTACTATCGTAATCTATGTCTTGCTAGTGACAAAATAAATATTAATAACTGGTTTTTTTCAGATGTGTAATCAAAGTAACTTATAAATAAACAACAATATCTAATTTTAATTATAAAACCATATATCAAGTGTCTTCCATCCTTAAAAGGTTGAAATTCAAAGGATTTCACTCAAACCACTCGTTAAAACCATGACATTTTCCGTCTTAGTACTTACATTAATACTTTCTAGAAGTAATAAAATGTTGTCCATTTTTGAGCTTTATATTATCATTTAAAATTTTCGAGCTTTTATTTGGTTTTATGTAGACAAAATTATTTTTTTATTAAAAATACTATATGAACGTTAAAAGTTGAAATTTAAATAAAAATCATAAAAAAAGACATTTTGTTTACTATATTTTACTTTATTTATCCACATAAAGCTTTTTTGACTCCATGAAAATGGTTAATAATTTAAGATAAAAATATTAGACAATTTTAATTTATTTTGTAGTTACAAATTAATGAATAAAAGTGGGACGAGAAATGTATTGGTTTTGCTTTGATGTTTGATTTTTTCATCTGTCTATGAACATTATTTTTTATCATAAATCTTATTCAAATTTACAGAAGTAGCATCTTTTCTAAAAGAAAATATTATCTAGTTAATTTGTAAGAAAAAAAGTTTTTTATTTTTTGAATTGTTTTCATATGAATTAAGATAAATCGGAAAAAATGTAAAAAAAAAAAACGGAAAACTCTAAGGCATTAATAATAAAAATATTTATTTTCCACAACATTATGTTTAACACTTCACTATATCAAGTTTTGTATTTGTTTATATTTACTACTTTACTACTTTTATTTTCTTTTGGCTGTCTGCCAATAATCGGTATATTAGTGAACATGAATAATTGTGTATTTTGTAGCCATCTTTTTTGTTCAATATTATAAAAAAATCATTAGTCCATAAATAACCTTAACGATTAACCTAACCAGTCATTGTATAGTACTGTGAGCGTGTAGCAATAATAATGTCAAGTTGTAGGTAGGTACACTAGTACAACCTATACTTCACTTGTGGAAATATGCATAATACTGTTCAGTTACATGTTATCATATTCGTGAATTTTTATAAAATTTACACGTACACGTTTATGAAGAGGTTAATTTTACGAGATTTTTAGTACACATTTATTTTTTAAATGTATTTTTATTTATTAAAGTTACATAAGTAATCATACATACCGCCTATATTTGTTGTAGAACGCTTATTGGTATGCGTCTACATTTAGAGAGAAACGAAAGGAGACATACTCCTAGAAACGGGACTAAACGTACCCGTAAACAATGTTGGTTTTATTTTTAATTATTTTTCATTATTAAAAACCTGGTAAATACTGTGCAATAAGTAGTTATAAATAATATATATAATTTAGTCTACCGCGTAGCGTCCTAGATTTTTGAAATGGTCGCTTTTGAGTACCAATGTATGTATGATACAACAAGTATCTAAAAAAGAACTGATATTGGGGATGGGAGCAACCAATGTTGTAGGTGAGAAGTTGGAAAGGTAGGATACATAAGGTTATTTTATTTATATCTGTAAGCAACGATAAACCATTGCTTAACGAAAGACGATTCCAAGCAGAATTCGGTAATACATAATTTGAAGTGCCGTATTTTTTTTTTTTTTTTNTTGGAAATTTCACAAAATTAGTATCGCACGTCTTGAAACCATACATAAAACATAGAATGTTGGTTACTGCGCCCTCTTTAATAGTTTTGTACAACAATATGAAAAGAATAAGCAGTACAATGTTTTTCTCAGAAAAAACTTTAAGATACAAAAATGCTCAGATTTTTCCATATAAACCTCATAGACTGATAATACTTTAATTGACACATTTTTTTAAAATTTTCCACTTTCTGAAATTTTATTTTTTGTACTTTAATCGAATATCGATAATCGAAAAAACCATGATTTTATAAATAAAAATTTAAACTTAATTTACGAAATCCTAGATATGTTAAACCGTTTTCGTATTCTTTAGAAAATTTACAAAAATATTATATCTTAATAATAGTTTGCCGACTGACCTTCATCGTATTTCAATGAAATTAGATTAAGTAAAAGTGTGCACATTCAAACCTTCACGTATCTTAGGTTGAAATTTAAGTACTATAATAATATTCCAATTATCAAACACCTACGCATTTAACATAAAAAAAATATACATGTATATAATATAAACAAATAGTGATATAACTACTGATATATTCAACAATAATAATTGTTTACTACAAGTCTTATAATGTACTGATGAATAATTCTTAAAAAAAATGAGTAGTGGTTATAAAAGAAAAAAATACTGACATACTTCGCACGTGGGTGCAATCACTGTTGTAGGTAGGAAGTTGGAAAGGTAGGATATAGACGGGAATTTAATGTATACCTGTAAGCAACGATAAACCATAACTAAAGAAAAAACGATTCTGAGCACAGTTCAGTTGATAGTGATACTTTGTCAACAATATATATATCATATTATGATAAAATAATCAAATAGGCATTATATATTATTTGTTCAATATTGTAGCGATTTTCCCGTTTTTCCCATGTTTTTCCCGGTTTTTCACAATTGATGAGAAAACTCCTTAGAAAATCGAAAAATTACCTCTCTAAAGTACTTTTTCAGTTAGATTTCCTTTCAGAAAAAATTATAATTTTGAATCGGAGCATAAGTGCTGGTAGAAAACTTGTCCATAAAAAAAAATCATAATATTTTACTAATATATTTCGTACATTTTTCCGTTTTTCTTATTTATTGGAAATATCGAAAATTGAACTCCTTAAGGAACCACGTAGATATAATTTCATTTCAGAAAAAATGCTATACTTGATACATCGGAACAAGATTTCTGGTAGAAGTTTGCACAACAAATCGAGAGGTATTTTCGATTAAAATAGTCCGAAAAAGCAATAGCGGGGTCTCTACACTTAAAATGCAATTGTTTTTCTCCTGTTTAAGTAAAAACGAAATAATAAATAATGTAAAAAATATTTTCCAATTCACGGGTGCGATACCTAGGACACCAATGGGCTTGAAGTACCATTAGACTACGATAGACATACGTTATTGTAGACAATATAGAGTTATTTAACATATCATATAATTTCCGCATAATATCAGAACTTCAAATTTCGAAACTTAGTCAGTCTGCTCAATTTTGACTTCACCGTCGTTCTTAAATCGGCAATATTCGTATATATATCTTCAAAGTAAAATATTTGAAAAACTACATTTTTTCCACATAATTTTTTCCACAATTTATTTTCGTCAATATTTGATTATACAATTATTTTATAAAAAAAATACTACATTAAACTCAATTTTTTTTTTTTTAACCATTATGTCTGACTTTTAATGAACCTCCTGTTTTAAGCATTTTTGTCAAGTATAAAAATTTTACCACACGTAGTGTTTGGTAAAATTGAAATTTCCGAATTAAAATGTCTATAAATATCTTAAGAATTGCTTACATTGTTTGAAAATGTTACCACGTCTAGAAAAGGCAAATCTAGATTTTCTATCCAAATTTCAAGTCTCTACGAATATTTATAACCGAATTACAACAAATAACAAATAACAAAATTTAAAAATAATAAAAGCATTATTTTTGTAAATTGCTCGTTATTCTTACGTTTTATCCTTGTTTTTCCCAGAAATTATGAAAACCGCTTGGAAATTCTAAAAATACCACCTGGACCTTTCAAAATGATGCCGTGCGAATATATCTGATCAAGATTTATGGTTGAATTTTTGTACAAGTATAAAAAAAAAAAAATCTTAGAAAAACCAATACATTCTTCGCTACACTTAAAATCTAAAATAGGTAAGAATAACAGTTTAATATACTTTTATAGAAATATTAAAGGAAAAATCAGATGTCTAAAAGTTTGGTGAGCTAATTGTAAACATACATCCAAAGATACACAGTCAAAACAAGAAGATACATGATGAAATAAAAAGTAAATGAAGAAAAGGTATTAGACGTGAGGGCAAGAATAATAAAATTCAAGAATATACTTATAAGTTACAAACTTGTGCTTGACTAGTAGAAGGACGTAGAAGGTCTCCTCTTAAAATTTTTTCTTATTTTGAGAGTAGCCCTTCAAATTATTTTGATTAGGATGAGAGGAAGGAACTTTTATTTTGTTAAAATAATATTGAATAATATTGGATCTGAACCCCTGTTAACCACCATTTAGACAATTGCAATTTCATCAAGTGAGTGTGAACGTGCGTTTAGCTCTATAAACAATTTAGTGATTACCAAAAAAAAATGCATTAAAATCTACTCATGTTTGTTTATAAACTGTGTTAGAACTCCAGTATAAACTTTTATGTATTGCCTTGGATTCGCAGAGAAAAATATCTAATAAAGAAGAATGTTGTCCTAAAAAGAAAAATACTAAAGTAAATCACAGTTAGTTGTGAAATGTTATTTACAATTAATTAGATACCAAATAAACTAGAGTACATTTGTATGTAATTATTAATTAACATATAAAAATGTAGAAGATTTATAGTTATACTTGGGTGGACCATTGTTGTAGATGAGAAGTTGGAAAATTAGGATATAGAGGGGAATTTAATGTATATCTGTAAGAAAAGATCTGATTATAAGTATTATCTTCTTCTTAATTATACCAATAATTATCCCAAAATTAAAAATGTCCAATTATTATTTTATTCCCCTTTCGATTATAGATTCTGAGTGTAGTGAAGTATGTTTTGGCTTTACTAAGATGTTTTGTTTTATTTTTTTTATCCTGTGTACAAAACTTTGACCATAAGATATATACGCGTGGCACCATTTCTGAAAAGGAATGTTGTCCAGATGGTACTTTTAGGAGATCATTTTTTGATTTTTCAAGTGGTTTTCATAATATCTGGGAAAAAACCGGATAAAACGTAAGAAAAACGGGAAATGTACGAAATGAATGATTTTATTATTTTATTCATTTTGTTATTTGTTGTAATTCAGTTAGAAATATTCGTAGAGACTTGAAATTTGGATAGAAAATATAGATTTTCCTTTTCTAGACGTGGTAAAATTTTCAAAATTTAAGCCTTTTTTGAGATATTTATAGACATTTTAATTTCAAGAGTTTTGTAAGAAATTTTTATTCGGTAGGTACTGTGTGGTGAAATTATTAGACTTGACAAAACTGCTTGAAAATTTAACAAGAAGTTTATTAAATCTTGCTTTGTGTTAAAAAAAAAATAACTTGAGTTTAATGTAGTATTTGTATTTATAACGAAATTTTGATACTAAGTTTTGACGAAAATTGTTTGAGTAAAAAATTACGTGAAACAAATCTAATTTTTCGATATTTTGTTTTGAAAATATGTATATTGTCTATTTAACAACGATGGTGAAGTCAGAATTAAGCGGACCGGCTAAGTTTTGAAATTATAGCTTTTTAAAGTTCTGATATTATGCAGATATTATATGTTATGTTAAAGAGCTCGATATTGTCCTTCTTAAAGCTTATTCGTCGTGATCTAATGGTTATTTATACCTATTATCATCCAAGGGGTTTCCGAGTTCAAATCATTGTGACGAAAATAAAAATTGTTTACATTTTTTTCCCCTTTTACCTAATCAAAGAAAAATCAAATGCATTTTGGATGTACCTAGAGACCCGAGCCATCGTTCCCTCGGGCTATCTTAATCGAAAAATATCCCTCGATTTATTGTACAAATTTTCTATCTAAATCGTGTTCCGATGTATCAAGTGTAGCTTATTTTCTAAAAGGAAATATTATCTCCTTGATAATTTAAAGAAGTTGTTTATTGATTTTTCAAGCGTTTTTTATAATATTTGGGAAAAACCGGAATAAATTGTCGGAAAAATGGAAAATTTACGTAAAGTATTAGTAAAAAAATATTATGACTTTTTTTTTTCTATGTAGAACTTTTCCACCAGCAATTTCGCTATAATTTAAAATAATAGCACTTTTTCTCAAAGAAAATCTGATTAGGGAAATACTTTAAGAAGGTTATTTTTCAATTTTCGCAGAAGTTTTCCCAATAAATGTGAAAAATCGGGAAAAACATGGGAAAATCGGTACAATATTAAAATAATATTTTTAAAGAAAATATATTATTCCTATTTAATTATTTTACCATAATATGGCATAAATATTGTTGAAAAAGCATCACTATCAACTGAACTGCTCTCAGAATCGTTTTTTTATTAGTATCAGTTTATCGTTGCTTACAGGTATACATTAAATTACCTATAACAGTGGCTACACCCGTCTCCATTATCCTAGGACGTCTTTTTTAACTGTACTTATTCGTAATGTATATATATACACAAATATGATATAAATAAAACTATGTAAGATTTTAACCGAATGGCACAAGAAAAAATTACACGATATTGCGCACCAATGTATAAGTATTATTCAGTAAAATTTAATTGAGTATCTAAATAGTATAACAAAAATGATAAACATCAGGTATACTGCAACAGAATATAATTACAATAATTAAATTGAAAAAACTAGTTTTTTTTAAATATATATGTACTCTTATGCACAGTTCATATATAGCCATCGGTTTGCCTGTCAGCTACAAAATTGAAAAACGAGTATAAAAATTAGAATCACGTTCTCGATCACATATCCGTCAATAGATATCTTTACCAACGTCACATACAAAGATTAAAAGATAACTTAAATAAAATTTACGTTGCAGTGGATGACAGTTTCGTAAATAACTGAAGTGTGACGCTAACTGATTAATAATAATTTCCGATGATCTATCCGATAACATATCGTACACGAGTGATGCATTAATCAAAATCACGTGCGTGATACTTGATAGACTAGACGTCCCACATCAGGGGAAAATGTCCCGATTTTTAAAACCGTGTATAGCGTAGATTTTTAAATAGTCCCCAGCTTTTTCTCCTATACTTTCACAAAAAACGAATGTGTACGTTATTAAACTTTACCATCGAACATGAATATTAGGTACATAAAATTAAAATGAATTGCTAAGCATTTTATAGTTCTATATATATAAATCCAAAAAGGCATCGCCACATAATTATTTGAAACTGTAAAAAGTGTCCCACTATTAGTCAGAAAAATAATTATAATGATACTGGGTAACAGGCAGTATCAAAATGCCTACAAATTGCCGAGCCAGGCTTATTCATTCTGTATAGTTCAGTTTACATTATGGGTAGGTATTCGTTGTTATAACGAACAGAATATTAACATGGGGAATCACAAAATCTTAAAACATCGCGGCAATCGTCGTAATAAATACTCTTGTACTTACTTTTGAGTTCCAAACCCTCTCTGGTACATCGTCCTCGGCCCATGACGCAATTAAACAGCATTTTGATCATCCGCTCGTTGGACATGACGGCGTCCACGTCCATGTAATCGTACCGGGTCGGATACGTTGCGGTCTGCCTGACGGATATCCGGTTGTCAGTGCCCGTGGTCGGCTGCGTGGCGTCTTTTTTTGAGTTCGGAGCGTTTACAGCGGGCGCCGGGCTCTGCGGCCCCAAATCGGTGTCGCAGGTCACGGTGATGTAACAAAAGAAAACCGTCAGTATATTCATGGGTGCTGCTGCAGTGATGACGAGCAGGCATCAAACCGCTCGGATCGGAAAAATAAATAAAAATCGTCGATTGAAAAAACCGCCGTATGCACGAGAGGATTTTTTTGTCGTTTTGCGAAACACGCAAAGTGCAGTTCTTCTCGCGACCGTCTCGTGTGCGGGATTAAACGCGAAAATCTAACGGATCCATCCGTGTTTGCAGTTGTGCCGATGGCGGAACGCGACAGAGACGGAAGCGTAGAGCAGAAAAAAATAATAATAAACGTGCACATCTCAAGGACAACACCCCGTCATACTGTGCAAACACGCATGCCGCCGCCGCCGTACTAGTCCGATTTATTTTTTTTCGCATTACCTTTCGTCCGCTGCGGAACATCTTCCAACCAAAATAAAAAAATGTATTACATATGTGCGATTCAAACGCCAACGCTTTTTTGTTTTTTTAATTTTATAAAGAAAAAGCAAACACTATTCTATGGTACACAGGCGCTTCAGTGGTTCCGTAGGCGATGATATATAATACTTATTATAATAGTTTCCATCGGGAACCTTGACTCGAGGCTTATTGGTACAGGTTGACCTAAGGTTTTGCTCTATCGATTCTAAAAACAAAAAAAAAGTGAAATTACTCACCGCCAAACTCCTCGGTCAAATCGCGCTTTCGTCTAAAATAATAATCCATCTCACGGTTTTTTGTGAAGAGTACTGCAGTTTCCCGTACAACAGATATTTCTGTCAAATACTCAGTGTTGAGCACAAAAACAAATAACACATACGAATAAAGTTTATCAAAGTAGCACAATAGATATATGTCATAAAAACCGAAAAACTATTAAGAATTATACTCCTAATGTTGTTTTAAAAAATACTAAACTTATTCTTTTAAAATCGGGGTATTCTATTCGTAACGATAACGACGAATAACTTATACTATTTAACACGAATGACCTAATCTAACAAAACATGTATGCATGGATTATTTTTAATACAAACTTATTGAGAATCTAAACACCCCCCCCCTAATACTGACAATGTTGCTAAAAGCCTAAGTCATGAATATGATTTACACGATAACGCGGTAATGGTACTTCGGTAGACAAGAAATTCGAATTTTTTGATTAAACTAATTATGTTTTGTTTGATACAAGAATCCGGTTTAAAATTTTACCTACCTATTTGAGACCAGTGGTCATCAAATTTGACTCTTGATGAAAAATTAACAAAAATACTATGGCCGACGTGGGCAAAAAGTTTGCCGACCACTGTTTTGGAATTTAAGATTGTTAAAAATACCTAGGGTATAATTAAAGTGATATTTTTTTTTTTTTAAATAATTATACTAGTACCCATTTACCATTACTATTTACGATTTTTTGTTATCAAATTATATTTAACATGATATTACATATAAAACTGATTTATCTTAATACACCGTCTATTATAGGTATATAAAAATATAACAACTACGTGAAACCGGTCATGGCATATTGGCATTGGCTTGAAAACGCAGAATAACGAATACTATACTGTATAAGCGTTTAAACATAAACGCTTGACTTAATTCCATTAGATTATCTGCAAGCGTTCTCAAGGAACTTCAGACAAAGCAATACAATGGTAAAACATTCTAGCTGAATTCCTTGAATATATTATCATTATATTCATATATTATATGTATCAATAATTTTTTTTATATAACACTCTATGCATTGTATTTTTTATACCAAAAATCGACGACAATAAATTATTATAAGTACCTGTTAACTATAATAAGTATAACCTATAATTATTATAAATATAAATAAAATTTAAACTGCTTTAAAGAATAAAAAAACTTTAACATTTAAATCTTATCGAAAATAACTGGTTCTAAAGCTAAAATAATTTTGGATTCTGTGCGACTCAAGTTAATTTTTAATAAAGGAATTTTATTTATTATTAGAATATTGAAATACCTGTTTGAGTTTTTATTAAATGTATTTTAGTCATACCTATGAGTAAAAAAATCAATTCAACAGTGAAACATCTAGTTCAATTCCTCTAAAACGCCGGTGGTTCCCAACCGCGGGCCACCGTCCGCGCGACTGTGATTTTGAGCAGACTCATAACACAAAAAAAAAATCAAAGGATACGGTATGACACAAGTGAAACATTGGCACTCATACGGGGGTGCTAGGAGGTGCTTAGTATCCCTAAATCTAAAATTAACATCCCCAGATTTGGAGCTAAATAAATTAAATATAATACTCAAATAGAACTCACATATGAGATAAATAATTATTATTTTACTGTTGTGTATTGATTTATACTATACATAATATATTGTATTATATTATATTATATTATTATGTAATTTTATGTTGTTTTCATATGAATTACCTATTCCGTGTTGGTTATTTATTGGGACATGAAAGATTCATTGTTTCAATTTTGTTTATTTAATGCGTAGGTAATTTTATACAGTTTTATTTCAAAATGTCGAATAGGTTGAGGGCAAAAGCTCCCCTCGTGATACCATATCGTAAATAATTGTAGCACTCCCCAGTTTTTGACCGAATGTGCGCCAATGAAGAGATAATATGCTCGTATACTACTCTTTACTTTATACTATATTACTAAATGTTTTAAGTATTCATCCCAGAATTATTTCAAACCTTATTAAGGAAAATCTAGCTCAAAAATTGCGCAATAGATTATCATAAATTATCATAGTAAACTTTATAGTATTTTGATAATGCTGTGAAAAAAAGTAGAAATTCTTGTATATAACCAAATAAAAAGTGTTCCGTGACATCGAAAGTTATCTAAGTGACCCGTGTTGTAAAAAAGGTTAGAAAGCACTGCTCTAAAAAATTAATCATTTTATTGAAATAAATGTAATTCACGTTTTGTAATGCTACAAAAAATGCTTCTGATAACTATCACAAAAAATACTTCACTTAACGCCGTTAACTTTTATCGATGATGCTCTACATTTTAGAAACCTGCTTATTTACCAAGACACAAAATTAAACAGAAAATAGTAGACTATGAGGTTCCATTACTGAATGCCATTCATACGTTTCGTGCCAATATTTTTGTATAGGTAGGTATTATATTTTTGACGTCGATGTTACCCATTGTTTATTTTTTTTTTTTTTGTATTATCAAATTTTAATATGATTTATTAAAAAAAAAAAAACGTTTACATTATAAATATCTAGTTTTATTGATATACTTAGACGAACGTCAAAAAACAAAATGTTTACCGTTATTAAACATAATTTTCATGTAATGCAGTTTATAATTTGTCCGAGACAGGATAAATAACAGTAATTTGAACTGTACTACTAACACAACAACAATAATTTTGGCGTTTTATAATAATTGCCGTAGACTCAAGGTTTCGGGGTTACCACCGTAGCTATAGGTGATGATGTTATTATCGTCGGTTCTTGTTGTTGATTTTGCTGAGGTTGTTGGTTCTGCTGGGGCTGCTGTGGGTTTTGCTGTGGCTGCTGTGGGTTTTGCTGTGGCTGCTGTGGGTTTTGCTGTGGCTGCTGTGGGTTTTGCTGTGGTTGCTGTGGGTTTTGCTGTGGCTGCTGTGGGTTTTGCTGTGGCTGCTGTGGGTTTTGCTGTGGCTGTTGTGGGTTTTGCCGCTGTACAGTTGAAATCAAATACTCCGGTTCGTTTCTTTTTTGTTCGAGTGTCTTAATATATTGCTGAATGTATTCGCCGTTTGGATCAAATTTGGCGGCCACCTGTTTTAATATTTCCGGTTGATGATTGTTCAGGTAACACATCATTTTTTCAATCACCTTCTTCTGCAGTTCGGTACAATGTGCGCATTCTTTTTGGATGGCTTCTGGGAGTAATTCTGCTATGACAGAACAATAAATAATATATTTAGTAAAATTATATTGAACCTATAATGTAGTTAAAAATCATAAAAAAAAAATGATCAACTATACAAAACATAACAAACGAGACAAAATGTTCTATATATTTATGACCTTTACTTAACTTGATCAATGTATTTACTTGTATCTTCAATAAAATAATCTCGACTGTTATGTCTTTAGAGTCCCTGGCTTTTGAAGGTAAGTATTTTAATTTTTGATTTACGACATACAAATACATTAAAATTTAATGGCTCATCTATATAAATATATAAATCTGAGTGTTATTTGAAAATAGTTCGTATATTATATATTTAAAATCATAATGTTTGTTATCATGTTGCAATTTATCATAAGTCAGTATAGTGTAGAGAGTGAGGCAAAACAAAAAACTGTTACTATTTATGTTCTAAAATAGTTATATATTTTGTGTGGTTGAGTAGGTACCTATTTTATTCTATGGCGTGCTTAGGTTAAGTACACAATAATAGTATATAGATAAGTACTAATGCGGCTATATTATCACTATCGCAAATATTTTATAGCAATATAACATAATATGTATAATTACAGATGATTCAAGATATCGTTATATCAATCATCAAAATCGCAACGATAAGTATGAATAGTATGACGAGTATAATATAGCAGTCATTATTTTTTTAAACCAATTCTATTATATATTACCCATCGGTAATTAACGTATTAAAAAAATCAAATTTAACTATATACTCGTATAATAAAATATTTGATAATTGACGGCTTTTTTTTTTAAAATTGTAAAGAAATTTTTTAGAAAGCAGAAATGATACTACAGAAATTATTAGATGTTGGGCATCACACGACTTGTCCCGTATTCACTTGATCGACCGGTCGTGATAGTGTTTCAAGACATTAATTCTAAACTAATGATGTAAACAACTGATAATCACAACTATTTTAAAATGATTATACGAACCGAGCACGCAGTTTATTCGAGACCCGGACGTTCTCGTTTTGGCGTCTCTTACCATGGCCTCATTGGCGTAAACAATTTTGGCACGAAGCCGTTTCAGTGTAAACCATCGCGATCGTAATACGTTGTAAAAAAAAAACAGTACCTGGGTACTTATAATATATTTTCAGCCACTGTAAGTGCAAATTATAAATACCTTTATCATTATTTCGCGTGTGCTGCGGCAATCGTTAGAAAATGGAACGTCGTAATCTTTAGTTCGACTTTATAAAACTCAATAAGCGCCACTTAATCAATTTTCGTTGTTTTTTTTTTTATTATTATACCTGTATTTGTATATACAAAACACAATGAAAAAATGATAAATTGGCGCTTACTATGTTTTACAAATAGAGAGCCGAGTTTGTTTTTCGTAAAATACTATTTTTAATAAAATCGCCCGTGACACCGAAACACGCGAAGAACGTGGATGTGATGAGATGATTTTTTATTTCGAAAAAAAAACGTCTGTAGGACGTTATAATAATATTTCTGATTTGTGCACACGTCTGTATAATGCGGAAATTGTACAATAACTGTAACGAAATACAGGGTCATACATTTTTTTTTAATTTTCTTTTAATACAATTGAAAATGAGAATATATGTATCCATTTTCATAAAAGTACATACAATTTTAAAATGTTACGTTATCCTTATTTGTTGGAATAAATTACTACAAGTGGTAATATAATTCCATAAATTAATACGAATTTATAGATTGAAGTATAAAAACCACTTCGTACTATAAGTGGGCCACTGTTGTAGATGAGAAGTTAGGACGGTAGTATGTATAGACGAATTTAATTTATATCTGTAAGCAACGATTAATTATTTCTAACGAAAAACGATTCTTAATGAAGCTCGGTCAATAATATTGTATTTCCAGCAATGTACGTTTTCACGACTACGATTGTATAAAAAATATTAAAAGATTAAAATGATAAAATAAATAAAATACTAAATTATAACAAAAAATGAATAAAAACGATTGCCAATGACAACCTTATTTTTAATATTTTTGAACCAAAAGAACTAGCTTTTCCTCATTATCTCGAATATTAATGAGAATTTCAAAAATCACCTTTCTAAAGTACGAACTAAATCAACAAAAAAAGTATTTTGTCATGTTTTGATTGGAGAAAGATTTTGTATATACTATAAAAAAAATTTCACTGTAAAACCAAACCATTTCCCGCTTCAAAATCTAACAAAATAAACATATATTATTTTATTTTCATCAATCCATTGTAGGCGAGATAAGTTCAGATCTTGCAAATCTTGGAATCTTTAAACTGAAAAATTGTTTTATATATATATTGTTATTCACATTTGAATATATATCATGTGATGCCATTTTAAAATCAAAAGTTCAAAATTTAAAAATGATGAACATTTTACGAAAAGGTATGCGATTTGCATTTAATATCCAAAATGTACTAAAATAAAATCAAATGTAAAATGTAATATTTGTAATATTTTATACAAAAATGTAATATTTACCGAGGTAATGTGTTTAAAAAGATCACCATGTAAAACGCCGACTACCGTTTATCGGTGTATAGGGCTATAAAAATAATAACTCTATAGCCTTACAATCGGCCGTTGTGACACTATATATTTATGTTTATCTTCATACCTGTAGATTGTTACCTGTTCGATACACACAACGACGGTGGTACCTAATCATATTGCCCAAGTGCATAACTACTATCGGTAAGACGTTAGAGCGTATGTTAGCGGAAGAAATATAGCTCCCAGTTATGTTCAAAACCTGCTCTGTAGCCCAGAAGACATCCCATCCCGGGATTCTGATCGAGCTTTACGCGATCAGATCGAGACAGCCTCCTTTCGCAGCTCATAGTCTTTCTACCGCATGGTAGAGGACATACTGAGCAGCAAGGAGCATGACGAAAAGATAAGGGAGACCGAGGCTAGGGCTGACCATCTGCCATAGGAGCAGCCACTTCACCAGTCCAGGGCATCAAAGTCACCACACAATAGGACCCAGCCACCGGCTCAAGGTCGTGTACAGGTTAGGTTAAGCTAACATAATGTCAGGAGGTGACGCGGCCCAACCGCTCACCTCCTACCTTAGTTTTAATTAGTATAGTTAATAATGTGAGCCTGCCCCGCGAAGGGGAAAAACAGGATTTTAAAAGGCATTAATTAATAATACTTATTAATAAACGATGGCAGTAGTGGAGTAGCAATGTGAAAAACTGATCTCCCATTGCTGTCGGTTAATCAGGGAAAAAAAGTGCATAATTACTATCGAAGGAGACGAAACCGTATATTTGGATGAAATAATATTATAGTATTCGTTATAATATAAAATAATGTCCCATGTCCGTCCAACTATAAAACGGTTCTCTTCGATCCGTTTTTGTACGGGTCTCCTATATATATATTATATGTTACATACAAAGTCACAATGTGTACAACAATCATTGTACACATTTCGAAATAAAATAAAATACATAAAACTATAATAATAGTTATTTTTTAAAAGAATTTTCCTAATAAATATTACATGTCAGTATATAATATAAAAATAGATGTACCTAGGTCATTTCATATTAGTATACTCAGAGGCGGATTGGCCTATCTAGAAATCAAGAATCTTTCCGATAGGCCGGTTTTTATATGGGCTATATTATTATAAAATTACAAAAAAAGTTATATTTTTGTAAAAAAAAAAAAAAAAAAAGCATAAAATATTAAAAAAAATTAAATATGAAGGTATTATTTTGGTATTTATTTGTACTATTACCGACCAGCGGAGTTAGTACGATAATCGAAATATACCATTATTTTACCCTTTGAATTTACTTTTAACGATGGTAATAATATCAATATGAATATAATCGTCAATGAATAATATTAACACAGATTATAAACCAAACCAGATTATATCATCTGTGATACTTTATTTTTGTTTGGTAATATGTAATAAGCGCTATAATATAAAAATATTCCTCGATCCCTTAAAGGTTTAAAATAATGTTTTATTATTATATCGAAATGAAATAGTTTTATCCCTATAGTTCTGAATGTCATTCGCAGTAGGTACATTAAAATATTAACAGATTTTTAAAGAATTTAATAACAATTTCCTGTGTTATGGATTTGGTGATTTCTCAAGTAAAAATATAATGTTTCATATAAAAAAAAAATAAACTGACATACTTCGCAAGATGGGTAGTTAACTGATATAGGTGAGAAGTTGGGAAGGTAGAGGGAAAATTTAAAATCTATCTGCACGCAACGATTAATCATGGCTAACGAAAAACGATTCTGAGCGGAGTTCGGTTTTACATGTTTTGAAAGACCGAATATTTACGATATGAAAATAATAAATTTCGTAAATTTTTCTCGATTTTTCCCATTTATTATGAAAGCCTCTGAAAAAATCAAAAATTAATCTTCTTGAAGTACGATCTCACAAAAAATTGTTTTCGGAAAAAGAGCTACACTTGAAAATCTGAGCAAAATTTTTGGTGCATACAAAATTTATTCACTGAAAAAAAAAAAAAATAAACATCATTGTGAAACCAATACATTCCTAGCTTCGCTCTTACTATTAAGCAAAAGTATATTTGCAGTTAACACTATGATAATGTTAGTTTTGAATAAATGGCTTTATGTATCAAAAATTAATTATGATCATTTATAGCACGTAATTTTTCTTTTCTTTATTTTAAAATTGTTTATTTGTACAGTAAATTTAAGGTCTTGATAACTTTTCAGTAAATTGTATTAGGTTAGCTAGCATGTACGTATTTTATATATTTTTTTGGATAAACTTATCAGCCTCTGAAGTTAACAGAAAAGAAATTTGAGAAATACAGATCGAATTTCAGATACTTTTGATGAAGTATTAATAAAAATTGTTATAGATAATCTATATTACCTAGCCCAACAACTAACAACTCTGAGTAGAGCTCGTTCCGTATTATCTGAAAATTAATAACATTTAGTATAATTTTGTTTATCTATTCTCGTCTACTATTGTGCAAGATAATAATACATACTAACGTCTTATTATTTATTAGATGTACGTATACTTTATTATTTAATTATAATCTCACGGTAACTTCTTCTATGCGCAATAATACACTATAATTCAAATAAAAAAAATCCGTCCAACTCACTTATAATATTGCCTATTGTTTTAAACGGCGTTGTAATATCATTTGCAAATTATAAATAGTAATTGGAATAAATAATAATAACTTACAGCAATTCCCCAAGGATGCAACGTTATTTTATTATACCTTTGAAATCGTTTTTCCCCAAAATTAATCTCACTTTATAATAGCTGCAAATTAACACTTACGTTTGATGCTATTGGCTTCAGGACTGCAAGGTCCATTGTCTAAAAAACAACTGAGGTAATTTTCACGGATTCTCGGATTGGCCACCAAACTGTTTGTGTAGTGTTCAACGGCGTGTTTTTGGTGTTGATCTTCTTGTTTTTGCTGTTGTCCGTCGTTTTTCGGCTGTGACTGCTGGGGCATTGGACCGCACATCACCGACGTCGACGCGAAGCACAAGACGACCATCGCGAATTTAAGTCCCGACATAGTCGTGAAAATAAATAATACTGAAATCCGTTTAGTTTGGATCGTCTGTTTGCGCGATCAAAATCCGGCAAATTGTGATCTATCGGTGGATTCGGTGCGCCTTTAAACGGACCCAATCAGTCCATAGAACTCACGGAAGGGACCTCCGATCTTATTTTACGCTTTGGTTTCATAGTTCATTAAAGACGGAAAAACAATGCGGAACTGATAAACCGAAACTATAATGTGATTATTATAAAATATTGTCTATAGCTGATATACTTCGAATAAATGTCGAATACAATGCACCTACAGCAGTATATTATTTGTATGTGTCACAATCGTTGCAGTATTCTCGAGAGAATTTATATTTTTTGAAGTGCATATTAAATATAATATGTAACAAACCAACTAATTGTTGTACGTGTTTTAGATAGGTATACATATAATTTACGCACGTTTTGCAAAATAATCGAAATCAACATTAAATGAAAAAAAAAAAATAATAATAAAAACCTTGAAGTAGTATTCACACGGCGTATCCAAAACGAATTTCCCACAATATTCCTTGACCGAATTTTATTCCGATTTTAATATTCATATAGATCACGGATACTTTTATATCAGTTATATTTTACTTATTCAGTACGCCTCACCTGCGGTTATCTGTTATATCTATAAACGATTCAAGTAAGTACCTAACTACTCTTTTTATATAATATATTATATTGTTGCGTTAATTGTTGTTGTAGTTAATTTGTGTATTGTTTTATTTTTAACCTAAAACCGCAGTATTCTTCAAGATAGTCTTTTATTATTCATATTATTTTTCTCCTTGAATCGTAAATATATCTACTCGTAAATCCACTGTATTTTCATATCATAATATTATACAATTTTACGATATACTTTCTTATTTCAGTATTAGGCCATTGCATTATATGCTAATTCAAAATTATAATTAATATTGATTTCTATCGTGTTTTTAATCTTACTATAAACTGTAGAAAATGTAAACATTATAATGTGTTCCATCCACAACCCAGATTATCAGAAAATACTGATAATAATAACGAGCTATACTTGCCTACATAATATGATGTATAATGATCACAGGCTGTTGTGTCCTACTTTATATGAACACACATAACCTCATACTTAAGTGTACATTAAAGACGATACATTTATTAAATTTTCATTTTTACTAAAATTTAAATAAATTATTCTGTTATTGAATCCTAAAATCATAGTTGATCCTAAAATCCAACTGGATCCCTTGAAAAATCCAGGCTTATATGAGAAATCGTCTCCCTTCTCCAAGATTTTTCATACTTACTGTAAATAATCTCCCTCCCTCCTGGATTTTTTTAGATGGACGCCCTCGCATGATTGCAATATAATATTAAATAGGTATTATGAACCAGACAAATTAATATAATAACTCAATAACATCACAAATACCATAGCTGAGAATTCTCTTTTATAAAATTAAATCATGTGAATAAAGGTTTGTATTTCACACAAAGACATTCTCTTTGCTTATATTTCTAATATATTGTATTTAAAAATCACAGCACTTACGAAAAATAAATGCGAGAAAATGCATACGGAGGTTTTTAGGTTTATTAACTATTTATTTTTAAATCAAATATAAAGTAAGAAATAAGTTAGCGATATTTATTTATTTAATCTGATGGTCTCTCTGCTATCTAGGGGTCTAAACGATAGTGAAATTTTAAGTTTTGGTTTTTGTATTCGCTTTTATTATCTACACCATCACAACTCATATGCGATAATGAGCGATAATAAGCTCAAACGGATAACAGAAACAAATAGTGGTAACCTATGGTAAACTGTTTTTGTGATTGTTTTTTTTTTATAGATTCTGAATATAACAAAGGAGCTTTACAAAGATGTACTTTTTTATATGGAAAACATTTTTATGGTCAGTAAAAATACTTTGATTTTTGCATACTATACCTCAAAACATGGCATATGCGTATTTTAGATTCTGAGAGGAACAAGGAATGTATTGGTTTTACAATGATGTTTATTTTATTTTTTATGTCAACACTTTTTCTACCAGAAAACATACTCTGATTATCAAGTATAGCACCTTTTCTGAAATTAAATTTTCTCTGGATGGTACATTAGAGAGCTCATTTTTCGAAATTCTCATTAATATTCGAGATAATGAGGAAAATCTCGGTCTTTAAGTTAAAAAAAGGTTGAAATATTAAAATTAAGGTTGTCATTGGCACTTTTATTTTTACTTTTGTTATTATTAATTTTTTATTATTTTAATCTTTTTTAAACAATCATTGTTGTCATGGAAATGCACACTATTTTAATTATTTTACCATAATATGACATAATACAATATATTGTTTTGTTGACAATAAAAGACCGACAGACAGTTAGATACACTCTTTATTTTAAGTGGGTATAGTTGTTATGGCATTTTTATTTCTGTTTATTATTAATATTTTGTAATACATTTTTTTTCATTTAATCCGTGTTACTGTAGTAATCCATAATTCAACAAAAGTAATTTTATTTTGTACAATTAAAATTGTGGTAATACATACTAATTACACAAACAATTTTAGCTGACAACCGTGTGAATTTTATTTTTCTAGTCATATTATCATGTTTTGACTACCAACAAAGAATTAATGTGATTCTCTCTCGAATAACAAATGATCCTTGTATTCATTATATCAACAACTTTTTATACTAAATACTTGATCGTATTTAAATCTTTTAATTATAATTTTATAAATTTAAGTAATTATATTATACATATTGTGTGAGCATAACATAACAATATACCGAAAAATTATAGGCAAAATTAACTCGGCTCGTACATATTTGTTTTATGAGTGTATCTACTTTTAACAATTTGTTATTGTTTAAGATAATTTATTAAAAAAAAAAAAAAATACTGTCACGCCACTAGATATACTTGTATATTTTATTGACAATTTTGTTTTATTAAAATGGTTTTGATTATTTCATAATTGATCTAAGAATTATTGCATTTATCCTTGAGTTTTATTTCCTGAAAGTCGGTTTAAAATTGTATTGAACTTCAATCATGTTTTATCAGGTATCAATCATTACGTTAAACATCGATTTGTATTATTATTCACTTTTACTTTTTACAAGTTATAATCTTTAAGTATGTATAAAAATAAATGTATATCTATGCGTGTGTTCTTTATAGGCTCAAAAACTACTGGACCGATTTCAATGAGGTTTTTTACAAAATGTTCAGCGTGGTATAGAGAAGGTTTATAGCTATTGCGATTTCTAAAATTCAACCCCTAAAAATTATCTGGCACAGAAATTTTAGTATTTTGTGAAATAATTTTTGTTGATTGGGTTACCTTGGTACTAAAGTAAATATTATTATTATTATTGTAAATTGTGTGATATCAATGGTCAAAATGTATCTACTGAATATTGTTTATTAATTTCATTGTAATGTTGGTTGCTTATCAACGCTCATCAAATTCAAATTCATTTAATTTAATTACGTTCGGAAGAATACAAATATAAATATGAAAGTAAGTCTGTCTTCTACGTTTTACGCCTAAACCACTAAACCAATTTTAATAAATTTTGGTATAGAGATTTTGGCATAGGACCCTGCAGAAAAAAATAGGTTACTTTTTGCCGAAAATAAAACTTAAAGGGGATGAAAAGTTTTTAGGTATTTTTTATACGAAAATTAAATTATTTTTGTTGAATTATGGATTAATTTAGTAACACGAATGAAATGAAAAACAATTTAAAGCAACACAATAAATAACAAACAGTAATAAAGCTATAACAACTTAAAATAAAGAGTCTATCTGACTATCTGTCGGTCTGTTATTGGCTTTAAATAGGAATGTCCACGTTGGAAATATTAATAAAAAAAGAAACAAAAAACTATACGCTATACTGGTTGGGTAAGTAAAAAGTGAAAACGTAAAACGTCATTTTAGAATTTTTATATTTTTTGGTACAGCAACAAACTACAGTAAGTACATGTCCTTATAATTTACGCGTTATTATAGTAAATTATAGTTTAATTCCTGTGCTGTGCGAGTACCTATAATAACACGGAAGAAAAAAATGTATGACACACTAGAACTCACTCTACCTATTTATTTTTGGTTCAATATACTGATACGAGCAAAACAAACACGGAATAAAGGTAAAAAGTAAAATTGGGACGGGCAACACTAGGCGCGGAAAACTAGTACAATATAAAAGTGCCTATAATAAATAAAATTTAAAATACAAACGGACATATTTCGCACGATGAGTGAGCCACTGTTATGTGGGAAGTTGGAAAGGTAGAGAGGAAATTCAATGTACATATATCTGTACACAACGATTAATCATTGCTAATGAAAAAAGATTCTGACCGGAGTTTAGTTTTATATGTTTTCAAAGGCCGTAATATTTACGAATAGAAAATAATATATTTCGTACATTTTTTTATTTTTCATACGTTTTTTCCATTTATTATTAAAACCCCTGCAAAAATCAAAAAGTATTACTAATGTACCACTCTAATAAAATTTCCTTTCAAAAAAGGTGCTATACTTGAAAATTATTGAAAAATGTCTCATAAATAAGTTGTTCACAGAAAAAAAAAAAATAAATATAATTGAAAAGCAATACATTCTTCCCTTCTCTATGTATCTAAAATTACATAATCTATTGTATACCTAGACAACAAATTATTTTGTTAATTTCTTCACGAATGAAAACAAACATATTTTACTTAACTATACATATTTGTATGTACATGAAGATTGTATACAAATCTAATCAAGTAACTATCATTCTAAAATATTTATTCTTATATACTATATTTATTCTATTATATAATATTTTATAATTCTTATTTTTCTAAATACAATTCATATACCGTTCTTAAGGAGTTGAATATAGGCAACTTAACCTAACGATTAGGAACGAAATTAATTGCTTAGCTGCCTGTGTAATATATTCAATTGAGTAATTCACACAAACTTTTCTCTAAAAGTATATTATACTGAATAAATTTAGTAGGTATTTATAGTATTCATACTAAACGAATTAGTGTGATAGAATTTTTGTTAAGTTATTTAGGGAACTAATTTATAGATACTTAAAATCCCCAAAAAAGCGAACTAGTAAAGAGATTCCCACTCTAATGGTTCTAATCCTATTAAATAAGATTTTCTAACACTGACAAATGT